CAACAGATTAAAACAATAAATAAATATATAGTTAAAATTTATAAGAAAACACATTTACACAATAAAAGGAAGAGGAAATATCCAGGAGGCTGATGGAAGCAACACCAGGCCTGTAGGGGGCTAGCCAACCCCATATCTGATGACCTCCCTCCCCACCCCAGGCCAGCTGGCAGAGCCAGGTCTTCAAGTCCCTCCGAAAGGCCGGGCGTGAGGGGGGCTGTCTTACCTCCAGGGGCAAGATGTTCCAAAGGGCAGGGGCTACAGCAGAGAAGGCCCGCCTTCTGGACCCCGCTAGTCGGCGTTCTTTTGCCGAGGGGGTCCAGAGCATGCCCTCTCTGTGAGATCGGGTGGGACGGGTCGTGGGGGAGAGGCAGTCCCTCAGGTAGCCTGGCCCCATACCACACCCATATCCTATGGGTGTGCTGATTTGGGACTAGGGTGGTGGAGAGAGAGAACTATTTTGTTGCCAGATTTATAGATGTGCAAACTAGTTATTTGACATTAGAAGGGATGTCTTCATCTAGCCCTTTGGTGAAAGAGAGCGAGACCCCTCGCTTCACCACGCTTGCCATCTTTTTATCTTTTTATCTTTTATTGATTTTATTGTAATTTCTTTCTTTGATTGTTATGAACTGCCCAGAGTTGTCAAGAGTCGGGTGGCGTACAACTTTAATAAATGATTACTCTTATGTCTGCGTGGGGGGGAGGGGAAGGAGTTCCAAAAGCCAAGATAGCGGCTGCGCCCGCCCGCCATCTTGATTTTCTTGACACCTCCACTGCACGGCCACTCCAGGCCAAGATGCTGCAGCATCTCCCTGTGAGGGGAGGAGTGCTTCTGCTCACACTATATCCAGCCAGGAAGAAGAATCTTACAGATTACTTTAGGGTCTTGGGGTGAGCTGAAAGGAATGCCCTATTTTTTCCTTTCTTATCTTCCTTTAAATTTCCTCTGTTACGTTATTAAGAAAAGAGCCTTAGTTTCATAGTGGTCGTCATCCTGAAACCTCTGTGTTCTGTGCCAAACATGAAGCTATCCGTTTTCCTTCCTTGTTCCCGGTGCCTCTTGTACAGGATGGTCACAGAGGTTTTAGCAAATTTGCCTGACCATAGTTTCTTCCTTCTTGAGGGGACTGTTGGATTGGTCTGGAGTTCCTAATGGCCAAGTTTTTTTTTATTCTTACATTTGTCTGACTTTAAGTCTCAACCATTATCTGCGTTCCAACCTCATGGAAGCAACTATGCATAGTTCTTTGTCAGACTATTTAATAGTTTTTTTCCCCTTTTGTTCTGAATTTCTGGTAATCTGGTAGCTGCGTAAGCCACAGTCTTATAGCTGGGTGGCCCTGTTTGGTTGCCAAATGGATATGCATTTTACCACCCACATTTGTTATTAGGGGAATACCGATAGCAATGCAAAAATAATATAAGTCAAAACAATAGAGATTAAATAGCAGCCATGAAATGAATACACAGAAATCCAAATATAAAGCAACCAACTCTTAAATTACTAAACCTGAATCAAATTCAACAACTTCTTGAATAAAAATAAATTATTTTATCCTCCTTTTCTCTTTGGATGTATTACTAATGACTAAAGAAGGTACCCCTATATTTGTCGATCAATTTGGCAGTAAATAACTCAAATAAATTAATTCTTATCTTTGTTTTGTTCCACAAGGGAAATTGGGTTCAGTTGATATGGTATAATTATGATAAGTAAGGATTTGCAAGCCTGCAGGAAACTTTGGACAGCTCTAGAATAGTTTATTCAGAGATCAGCCTCTAAAGAAAATGTATGAACTGTAAGACCCAGCAGGGGTGGGTCAACAATAATACCATCACACCAATTTTATCCCATTTTTGAAAGAGTTGGTGGTTTGTTAGACCATTGAGTGCCATGAATGTAGGCTAAAAAAATCCCAGAACAAAAGGAGTAAATAAATCAGAGGACATCTGAAGGATGGAAGAAGCCCGACTTGCCAGGAGGATATTTGTCTTGACATGTAAAAAACATTTAGGAGTCCTGGATAATTACAGTGAACATAAGCCAGCAGTGTGATGCAGATGCTAACAAAGCTAATTCAATCTAAGGCAGCTCAGCATAATCTCCAATTAATGAGAAAGAATCATGAAGCAATCACCTCCAGTTCATGAGAAATAATAATTCCAGCTGGATGATTGTTTGTTTGGTTGTGGTCTTAACATCTAGAAGAACATCTAGAAACTGAAATGCAGCCAGAGAAAGCCAGTCAGAAGGATGAGTGCTCAGAAATCAAGTCCCATGAGGAATAGGGGACAGATGTGAATATATTTAACCTGGATCAGAAAAGCCAAAGGGGAGAGATTGTAGGCGTCTCCATATATCTGAAGCAATGTCACGTAGAAGTTGGAACAGACTTATTTACTACTTATTCAGAGGACAGGACGAGAATTAGTGGATAGAAGTGGCATTATTAAACTTAATAAACTAAACCTCCTATTAAACCTGAGGAGAATCTTTGTCATTGGATGAGGTGTTTAAGACTGGAACAGGATGCCTGAGGACCACCTTCAAAACACAGGAAGTGTTTCAACAAAAGCTAGAGAGTCATTTGCCAAGGATGCTATAATTGCATCCTGTACTAGTGGCATACCTATTTTTGTAGTAAGATAAATACTGCACATTTTCCTTTGCATGGGGAATTCGACTGAATGTCCTTAAAATATCCATTCTGATGCTGAAGATTACATGATTTAAAAGACTGCATTGAGAACTATAAATAGTGAATAGATAATCACTTGGCAATTGGAAATTTAACCACATCAAACTTTGAATTTTCCTCATTTGCTCTGCTTGGAGGAGTTTTTAAACGTCTACATAGTGCTTGATTTAAAAAAAATTAAACTAAAATGAATATTTCTGGCACGGTGATTTTGAGTTAGGTTTGATCTTACCTGTTTGGTTTTTCATTAATTTCATTCTCACAGTGGTTTTATAAATTGTCAGAAGCAGGATTAAATGATAGCTGGTATAAAACGTGTAAGGTGTTATTTTGTGGCTGTGTTTACACATAGTAAGTTTGGATAATTTTAAATTTAGTTTGCTCATTAATCCAGCTGCCTGATTTTGCACAACACACTGAATCACAAACCAACAAATTGTCTGAGATTGTACAACAATGAACTGAGCCACAGAAAACATAACCAGTGTTAAAACTAATCAAGTTAAGCATGTTGAACAAATTCAGCCAAATATTAAAATTAGACCCTGATTTATTCCTTGGGTCTTAATTCTGAATTGGTATGAATAAAATATGCCAGGGAAATAGAGAAATTAAAAACTGTTTACTTCTGTATATATTATAGTTCATAAATATTTTAAATTTTTCTTATGTACATAATCTTTAAGTAACAGGAAAAATTGCTTTCTCTAGGTCTAATATGTAGATATCCAGAAAAAGACTACGATTCATTTCCTTTGCCAGAATCAGTACCTCTCTTTTGCCTCCCAATGGGTGCAACAATTGAATGTTGGCCTTCTGATAGCAAATATCCCCTCCCAGTATTTTCTACATTTGTGCTAACTGGAGCCTCAGCTGAAAAGGTATGGATCAATTTATCATTAACTGTAATTTGGGTGTTTGCTGTTTCATTTTTTCTGAGTTTGTCAGTTAATCCAAAAAGCTGGAAGGAGAGGAGGCTTGAAACTTTTTCTGAAGTGAAAATGCATTCACTTTTACCTTCACCATGCAAGCCATTCATTCTTTATTTCTCTCTCTTTGCCCCACTTCACCTTCAGTGCATTTATCCAGCCATCTATTTTCTTTCTGTCTCATAGAAATATACAGAAACATCCCTACACCACGCACACCTTTTGAACATATTGATCTGTCAGAATCCATGCTGTCAAAGCAATCTGCTTCCTCAATTTGTGTGGCAGAAGGCTGCTCTCTGCTTTCCAATAGGGCAGGCACAATGTTGAAAAGCCAGCTCCCTTTTGATTCCATCCCCTTGGGTCGCCTTTTGAAAGCGCTGCGTGACCTTCATCTTTTGCAAAGAATGATTCAGGATTGAAGAGGCAGAATCACTCAAGGAGTTATGAGTTCCCAAACTCTGTTCTGTTGCCTAGGTGGAATTTCTCTGTAGTACATTTCTCAAACATCTAAAGGAGGGGGCATCATGTAAACTAATGTTTCCCTTTTGCAATAGGTCATCTAACACAGTAAAATTATATACATATGCATATTCACTTAGTAGTTTAGTATTTTATTCATAAAGTAGTTTTATAGTGCAGTGAATTAGTTTTAAGTATTCAAAAATGTTAGCATTCTACTACTTGTTTTTATAGTGGATTTTAGTTTGATCTATTTTATTCCTATCAATCATCTAGAAAATGTTTATCTTTTACAAAAAAAGTGTATAAAATGCTGGTTAGTGAACATAATAAAGATATTTCACTTTTCAATGGAAGAAAAGCAAGAAAACAGTTTCAGTAATTATTGTACTGATTATTCTTTTATTCTCCTTTTCCTTTTTAATGTTAATTTAAGAATTTATTTCATCCTAGAGAAAAAATCTATCTATGTGGTCACTAAGAGTCGACACTGAATCGATGGCACATAATCAGAAATATGTATTTACTACACTTCTGTTATCATTCAGTGGCTAAAGTTCTCTGAGCAGTTGCTGAACAGAGGCTAAAACGAAATGTACAAATATAGCACTGAAAAAATACAAACCCAAGATCAGTA